TGCACTTATTTCGAATGAAAGTTTTGTAAAAATAATTACATGAATTACATGAATACATCTACTTGAACAAGTAAACCTGTAAAAACTAAATCTTTTATGTATCTTCTTATATAGGTATTTCGATAACATTGTAAAACAAATTTGATATCAAACTTTAAAATATTCTATGAAATAAGATAGCAAAGGTTTCCGACATTTTGTAAAAATTAATTAATTTGTTGCTTAAAACTAGACAGTTTCGGCAACAGTATTTTGAAAAAAAGGAATTTCTTTTTAAATTCTTTGTTTTACAATAAAAATTCAGAATAGCTCGAAAAGAAATTCGGTATGAGACGTACCAGCCCCACACAGGGTGGAACGTGTTAAATATCGGCAATTCATCGAAATACGGGAATTTAAGATACAAATACATTTTTTTTATTCAGAGTAAGGCATTTAAAACAGACCAACTGAATAACTCGTAGTGACTGATGACCAAGTGATATCACTTGGTTTTGAGGATGACATAATTATTTGTTGATAGTATCTTTGTAAGTAGGTGCACACCTCAACATAAAATATTTCCCATTGCAGTAGACTTTCAATGATCTCGAATAATTGTATCTTAGGGTCACTATACACATCTAAAATGCTCTATTATATGATACATGGAAAATTATATATTATTCCATTTAAAAAGAAGGAGTTGAACTTCACATGTCCTTGATGTGTCCATCTATGAAAAAGTTATTAATATAAGATTATGTCATCCTTAAAACTAAATAACTTATGTCCAACAAATTTTTTTCTATCGCCAATAATGCTTGAATTATTTAAGTGGCCTATTCTAAATAATTCACCCTGTATTATTAATATTATTACATACAGTGGAACCATTACTTACAGGTTTGATGATACCCTCTAGGAAATGTTTTGTCGTTACACATAATTCGTCTATGACTATTTCACCATGTTGTATATCCTGGAATGAAATAGACTATATGTCTAAACTAAAGCATCGAAAAGGACACACAAAGTATTTTACTATGTTTGCCAAATAACATTGTTGAACATGTATTATCTATATATAATACATATAACATATTTATCTACATATAATCATATTCATAAGAGAAGTTACATATATACTTTCATATATACTTACGACAGTTGCCAGAGAGGGACTTAAGTCTAGATTCAGCACTATTCTATATTTATGCGCCAAAAATATTATTGATGTTGTTGAAGTCACTTTATAGAGAAATTGATGACTTGATTGAGGAGACCAAGATTCAGGTTTGTTTTTTGGTAATACAGAAACTATTTCCAATTCTTCTGCTTCTTTTTGTTTAGAACTATGGCACTGAATAGTTATTAGAGTATCTAGATGCTCTAACATCCATTGAGCTCTTACATTTCGAGATATGGGGAAACCTTTTTTCATTAGCAAAAATACAGTTGTTGCTTCCAAAACAATTTTTTTCTGTAAAATAAAAATATTTTGTGCAATAATTTCTATTGGAAATATAAGTAGAAAAAATATAGAATAATAAATAGAAGTACGCAATTATTTTATAAGCAGTCACATAATATAAATATAACAAATATTTTGATGTTTAATTTTAAATACATTATGTCTAAAGACTACTGATTACTTCTGCTATTTATTTGTTTCGTATATATGTTACCGTGAATGACCGAAATTGGAGAATGTCGACTTTCACCAGTGAATGTCAACAGATACCAAATACGTCGGTGAAAGATCGAATATTTCATTACATTGTTGTACATTCGGACCCTCTCCGGAGTGTGTCGACAATCACAGATATGCTCTGGTGGAGGTCCAAAACAGAAGAGTCAAAAAACAAGTGACTGGCTCTCTCCCGCCAAATCCTTTGTTCTGCTCGGAGTCAATCAGCTTTGTCAGTCTTATGCAAGCTTTGATAACGCGAGCAACGTTTTCTTAATTTTTTTTCCGATACCCTAATTTATACTAAATGGATACTGCAGTAAATCGTGATCTTTTTCTTGAAAAGTTAAATGCATTAATTGCGGGTAAACGAGAAGACGATTGTTTTTATTTTTCTCAAGAAAAGTATTCTAAAATACTTTCTGAAGTGGTTTCTGCTAAAATTAAATGCAACACACCTTTGGATTACAGACGATTAAAACGTTTTGATGTTTTAAAAATTAATGATGGAGAGAAGTTAATTGTACCATTAAAACCAGGGGAAACGAACATACAGTATTATGTTACCAATGAAGAATTGTACAGTATACTATATGAAACTCACACCAGAATAGGCCACGGAGGAAGAACACGTATGCTTAAAGAGTTGCAAGTTAAATACAAAAATATTACATATGAAGTTGTAATGTTGTATTTAAATTTATGTAAACAGTGTCAAATGAAACACAGTGCACCTAAGAAAGGTATTGTTGTGAAGCCAATGGTTAGTTCTGAATTAAACTCAAGATGTCAAGTTGATCTGATAGATCTGCAGTCAAACAGAAATGGCGAATATAAGTTCATAATGGTGTATCAAGATCATTTAACTAAGTTTGTCCAGCTACGACCTTTGAAAACTAAAAAAACTGAAGAAGTAGCGCATCACGTTCTTTCAATATTTTTAACATTTGGTGCACCAACAATATTGCAATCAGATAATGGCAAAGAATTTAGTAATCAAGTCATATCCGAAATATGCGCTATGTGGAAAGATGTTAAAATAGTTCATGGAAAGCCTCGTCACAGTCAAACACAAGGCTCAGTTGAAAGGGCCAATCAGGATATACAGAATATGCTAACTGCATGGATGAACGATAACGATACAAATAAATGGTCAGATGGTTTATCCTTTGTTCAATTTGCCAAGAACACTACATACCACGAAGGAATACGCCAAAGTCCTTATGAAGCCATGTTTGGCGTTAAAGCAAAAAGAGGCATAGCATCGTCTTTTTTGCCTGGCGAACAAATCGCAAATATTGAAACTGAAGAACAACTCGAAGAAACTGCCAATACTTCTGAAACCGAAGAACAGCTTGAAGAAACTGTTAATGCTTATAAAAAAAATTTGAGCGGTGGTCATACCGAAAACCATATTCCAAAGAAAAATATTGAAGAGGACCTACAACCTACAACGTCTTCACATCAAATTCTGACTGAACAACACGAGTTGATTTCTACAAAAAGAGCGGCCGCGAAAGAAAATCTTCTACTGCAAGCAACAAAAATGTTACGAGCCTCACAAAAACAATTTCCTCCTGCTCAAATTGGTGATAATGTACGAATACAAGTCCCTGATGTCGACCATGGTCGTACAGATAACCGAAATGTGTTAGCGGTTGTTGTTGGAATAGAAGACTCCGACTTCTATAAACTGGCAAATAAAAATGGTACCCTCAAGCAGCTTTACACACGTAATCAGTTCGTAATTTGTAAAGAAAAGTTACTTTCCATAGATGAGATTTCTTTTCAAGAAATGTCGCTGAAAGAAGCAGCTGCAGCTAATTCGAGAAGCGGGGGACAAGGCTATAGACGCTGTCATTGCAAAAGGAAGTGTTTCACAAATAAATGCAGTTGTAAAAGCAAGGGACTCTTGTGCAATTCAAAGTGTCATAATAGTTTAAGTTGTTGCAATAAATAAGATTTGAATCACATAAGTAAGTAATTATTTTATTACTATTATTTTCTTTTCTCATGTAGAATGTACCGTGTATTTTAAATTCTTGGCCATTCCTTTCAGAAAGAGAGGCGAAAAAGTTACGTCACCCTTGTGGCGTTTTATAGCGACTGAATTACGGAGAAGAAAATATAAATCTCCAACATGTTCAACATTCACCATTAGTGCATGGTGAATGTCAACATTTACCGGTGTAAGTCAGAAATAAGGGTATTTAGCAAATATTTCGGACATACACCAAGCGACTATGTGAATGTTGACATTCACCGGTGAAAGTCGACATTCTCCAGATTTCGGTGTTTCACTGTAACATATATACTATCAAACATATTTCTTCTACATAACCAATAAATTTATAGTGTCACAAAATAAAAATTATGTTGTATACAAATATTAAATGTACTCATTGTATAACGATAAACATTTATAATGATTATGAAACACTTTTTGGACACTTTTATAACAATGTTGTAAAAACAATACATACATGTACCAGAATTTATATTTCATAATTATATGATAGATATTAGAAAACAGTATCATATCTATAACAAATTAATAAGCAATTCTATTATTACCTCATCTTTTGCACAAGCCATGATATTGCTGGCGTTTGTATTTACATATCAACTGTCACTATTTTCCATGGGAAAGTACATTTCTGCACAATAAGTATTGTTATTGCGTAGAATTATTCAATGGCCATGTTATCACTTCTTCTTTTTTTAGTTGCATTATTTGAATAATTTTCACCACAACATAACCTTACTAGTTTAAAATTCCGTTAGAATTACATCTTATTTAAAACTACATGTTCTAATAGGTGTAACACGTAATTATGTTTACAACCTAATTGATTTAAAGCAATGATTTTTATTCTGTAAAAAAACACTTTTAAAACAGTAAACAAAGAAAGGTGTATACATAACGTATGTAGATTTTAATATGTAGTACAATATGTTTGGAAAATTTGAGTAAAATGTATACAAGATTTAAAGTAGCGTATATTGCTTATGTTGCTATATGTACAGCGAAGCGGGGCCAACCAGCTTAATAGCATGAAGCAAGTAAAGAAATCTGATTGGTTGATGGTTCATAGACAAACAGTGCTGCCCTTACGGTTCTAGACAAAGAGAGGAGGTGGCGAGTAAGCAAGATAGTACGATATTAGACAACCGCAAGCAAAACAAGTCACATCGACGACCAATGTAGCTTGTCTCATTTTATCGTGTTTGCATTCTCACTCTTTTCGCGCATCCATATGCCTGGTGCTCCATCTGAAACACATGGCGCGATATTCGACTTGCACTTTTCGCCCCATAGGATTCTCAACCACATCGTCCAGCGTATTTGCGAACGTCTTGAAACGACGATCATTTCTACAATTATTAAAATTTTCGAAAACCCGTAAATTACATTCGTAGCTAATGGTTTTTAGTTTACGAATCTACAGAATTTTTTAAATATAGCTATTCCGGCCAATATAGACAATATTATACTGTACAAGAAAGAGTTTCGTAAGCAACAGATAATTTCGTATTTATCGAAGCTATGAACGAAACTAAGAATATAATGAAATGTTGTTTGTAAATCTGGGTAAACTAGAAAATAGTACTTTATTATCGCATCAACATTATCACTTCTGGAGTGAATGAGGCTAGAATGAATTTGAGGCCCTGAAAAGGGCCGTTATTATTAACACGTTGACGCCGGCGCGGATATTTATAGTTTTTTCCGTGCGGCGGCGCTTGAATTAACGCTCCGTTTCGTGGGACGGCGCATGCCCAAATTAATGTTCAACACAATACTTGCGCGGTAATACCTAGTAGGTGTTTTAGATAGATCTCGGCGAGCTAAAAACCAATCTAAAATTTGGTTTTGCTTCATCGCCCTCAGTTTTTGGGAAAATCAATTTTTATGAAAATCGCAGTTTATCATCATTGGCAATATCAGTTTGCGTACATTCACTTAACATTTACACACATGTAAATGTTAAGTAAAGCTGACCGTACCAGTTTTGGCCCTAATTTTGGTGTACCCTGTTCGATTCTTCTCCAAAAGTAGAGGTCTGATGCGCATTCTGACCATCGCACGCAATTCTGTGAACATTATTCTATAAAAGACAATTATAGCGCAAAGCAAAAAATTATTCAATTTCGTACAGAAAAAAGAAATAGTTGTGCGTATTCGACGAAGAATGACGGCACGCATAAGGAATATGTATGGCGAAAATTGTGTTAGGACGTGTTGGAAGTATTTGTCGTAAATTATGTTGAGTGCGACGGGGATTTCGTCGAACCTACGACTGACGATTTCCAGGCGCCCAGGCACTCGAGATCCGAATAATATGAAGTGCAGGGAAAACTTCTAAAGTGCAAGTTTGGGGGTCCGCACAAGTATTTGGTTTCCTAGGCCACTGACAAAAGATATATTGCCGGGCTAAGTGGTCGCAGACCGCTTAGACCGTCGCGCGATTTTCTGGGAATCGGTTTCTTTTCGCCTGGATGACGGCGGGTCTCGGCGTGGGCCTTAGTTAGGCGAACTTTGACCCGCCTTAGGATCTTCGGCGGCTCTATTAGAAGTATAGGGCCGCCCACACACAGTGAAGCAAATCTGTGACTTTTGGGGGAACGAATACGCCCCAACCGACACTTTTTGAATATACAGGGTGTCCCACAATTATTTTAACAGCCGAAAATGAGGGGTAGCTGAGGTCATTTGAAGTAACTTTTTCCTTTGCGAAAATGCAATCCGCGGCTTCGTTTGCGAGTTATTAACGAAAAACACTGGCCAATGAGACGAATTGGCGCGAACCATATGGTTATCGATCGGCCGAGCGGCACGTGCGTTTACCGCTGAGTTTGACAGTTGAAGGAGNTGAGGTCATTTGAAGTAACTTTTTCCTTTGCGAAAATGCAATCCGCGGCTTCGTTTGCGAGTTATTAACGAAAAACACTGGCCAATGAGACGAATTGGCGCGAACCATATGGTTATCGATCGGCCGAGCGGCACGTGCGTTTACCGCTGAGTTTGACAGTTGAAGGAGGGACTGTGTGCGGCGTCCGAATCAATGAACAAGTCACGGAGCATGAACTTTTGATATTTTTTTTTACCACGTGACAGTGATAATTTCAAGAAAAACGCTATTCATCCTTATTTCAGAATGTCTGAAGAATGTTTACTAAATTTTCGGTCCCGAAATAATATGTAGTTTAACCGTGACAACCGTTTTAATTTTCTCACGTGTACCGTATGAAATTTGTATGCGATATGTACAGTGAAGATTAACAATAAGCAACCCAGTCGAAGTACATAAATGATATTTGAATTTAAATAATTCCGTGTCCGAACAGAATTCAACGAACGATGCGCAAAGCTAATTTAATAAATAATAATCGCGTTAAAGGACATAAGGGATATGTTTGTTAGAGAAATATGAAGAATATTATCAATAAGAAACTCACCCATTTAGTTGTGGATGCATTTGCTGGCTGGAATTGTGGCTCACAATGTCGAAGGGCACTGACCTCGTACAACACACAGCTGATTCCAGGTCGATGACCGCAACATTCGAGGGATACTGTCGGAGGAACCTCTGGTATGGATATTTATGAAATTCACTTGCACTGCACGGTCACCAAACACTGACCACTTAATGAATCACTGATAATCCGGAAACATAACGAAATATCACTGAGACTAGTTCGCGGATAATCGTTTATGCGACTCGTTCGTTCGGGAGTCGACGTTTCACTGCCGAAAAATCCAAGCCTAGACGACCATGGGTGGGCCCTTGTCGTTCGTCGTTCGGCCGTCCGAGGAAATGACACCCGATACCATTTTCTTTGAACGGCCGTTAATTATATCCTAAGAGCGCCGAGTACCGTCGGTGACAGCGGGTCGGTCGCAGTTTACGTTCCTACACACCTTGTTTATTTAATATGGCGCCATGCCCGTCGCCGATCTTCCAAACACCGTGAGGTATCCTATGGAAGGGTAGAGTTTTTTTATGGAATCGTTCAATCCCTCGTTAAAAATTGGTGGCCCTGAAAAGGGCCGATTACAATTAGCGGTAATGCTGCTCGAAGTGTCTTCCTCCAACTTCGTTACACCATTCGGCACGGCTTACAACTTGTCGCTGGACTTTTTCCAATGTATCATTGGTTATCATTGCGACAGCTGCGTGCATCCTCATGACAATGTCATCGACATTGTTTACCGCTTCTTTGTACACCGCATCCTAGAAGTAGATAAAATTAATCTAAAGAAACAGTAAAAAAATGCAACAATAATTTGAAAATATTCATTTCTAAAATTACCTTTAGGTACCCCCAGAAATAAAAATCCAACGGATTCAAATCAGGTGATCGTGGGGGCCACGGCACAGGTCCGCCACGGCCGATCCACCTGTCTTGAAAGGTTTCGTCTAGATGGGCGCGAACATCTGTGGCGAAATGGGCCGGAGCACCGTCCATTTGATAAAACATGTTCTGCCGGAACTCCAAAGGAATGTCTTCCAAAAGCTCTGGCAGAACATGTTTTAAAAAAATTTTATACGCTGGACCGTCCAACCTGTTAGGAAGGATGTACGGCCCAACGATAAAATTGCCACAAATTCCGGCCCATACATTTACCGTGAAGCGAACCTGCGTATGGTGTGACCGAAGCGCACGCGGATTCTCGTCGCTCCACAAATGCAAATTATGGGCATTGAAACACCCTTCTTTTGTGAAGAGTGCTTCATCTGTCCATAAAATGTATTTGGAGAACGATGGATTTCGCGCTACTTCTCCCAGCAGCCACCTTGAATATTGAATCCGTTGATCGAAGTCGGTATCCAGTAATTCCTGCACCCGTACGAACTTGTATGGGTGCAGAGAATTGTCCTGCAGGATACGGTGTACGGTACTACGGCTGACACTAGAAAAAAAATACATACAAATGCATAAACATTTACAGATCAAGAACATTTTTTTTACATAATTAAAAATCATGGTTACTTTAATTGTGACTTACCCCAAGCGGCGACTGATTCCTCGCACACTTTCTGTGCCGTCCTCCTCTATCAGCGCCTGCACATCATTTTCTGATCGGGGGGTCCGCGCAGAGAATGCTCTACCCGCCCCCTCGTCATTTAACGATGAAATGCCGCGGGAATAGAAGCGATGTGCCAATGAACGTACGGCATATTCCGTTGGTGTACGTAAGTTCGGGAATTCTTCCCGCAATCTCCTGACTGTCGCGGCAGCATTACCTTCGCACTGCGAAATTGATCTTGATGCGGAATGGCACCCAATAAGAGAACAAGGTACAGCAGAGGAAGAATACTCGGAGGAAGAAGAACTTTTGGATGAAGAGACGGACTGCGACGATCCAGTTGAATTATACAAACTATTCTTCACCGATGAGATATTGGAGATGGTCGTCGAAGAGACAAATAGATATGCAGTACAGCGCATATCCAATATAGCATCTGGCAGCAGAAGGCATCAACAAGCTTGGAAGCCTGTTACGAAACGCGAAATGAGTACTTTCATTGGTATTTTACTAATTGTGGGTGTAGTGCGGTTACCGGAAATTAGACTTTACTGGTCAAAGAAGGAAATGTATGGGAATGCACGCATAAAGAAAGCAATGAAACGCGATCGATTTATGTCGATATTGAAATATTTACATTTCACTGATAATACGACTGATAGAATCGAGGATCGATTATATAAAGTTCGAGACATTGTTGACAAAATTGTTCGCACTTTTCGAAATACCGTGAAACCCGGTAAAAATATAGTAATTGACGAAAGCATGGTTCCGTGGAGAGGACGCCTCAGTTTTCGGCAATATATACCAGGCAAGCGACACAAATACGGAATAAAAATGTACAAATTGTGCCTTCCAGGAGGTTATACGTATAATATACATATTTATTCCGGGAAGGATGAAGCGAGATGTGGAAAACCACATTCTCAAGATGTCGTAATGAAATTGATAGGGAATTTATTGTTCGTGCGCCGGATATTGTTCACTGATAGTTTTTATACAAGTGTTCCCTTGGCCGAGGAACTACTCGGAAAAGATACATATATTTGTGGCACCATAAGAATGAATAAAAAATTTTTACCACCGCAGGCAAAGCAGAAACAAAAGCGAGGCGACATTATGTCGTTTCAAAATCGTAGAGGGGTGAAGTTTATGAAGTGGACTGATAAAAGGCCTGTGTGCATGCTAACCACTTCAAGCAATCACAAATGTATTCTTATTCGCGGCAAAAAAGATAAAGTAAAGCCAGACACTGTTTTTTTTTACAATGATGCAAAAAAAGGGAGTCGATCTGTCTGACCAAATGTCGTCATATTATAATTCTTTACGAAGAACAGTCAAATGGTACCGGAAACTTGTCATACAGTTGATATGCGGAACCTGTCTGGTGAATGCGTGGTACGTTCACATAAAATGGGGAAGTAAACGGATGAAAATTTTAAAATTCAGAGGAAAGATTATTGACCATTTGTTGATGGATGTTGTAAATTCCCCTAGGGGAACACAGGAGGTTGTTGTTTCTATGATTCGATCGCAGCCCATAATTCAGGAGTTTGAACCTGCGCAGAACGTTACTGCGTCTTTAGTGGCCTGCATCCCGGTCGTGTTGAACCTTGTGATGACGGCGGAGCAACTCGGCTAAGAAGACCCTCACCACCACCCCCATACTGCACATTTCGTGGCCCATGCCCCCAGCTATCTTACACCCTTGCGACGATTTGGAAAATTCATTCAATCAAGTTGTTACAGTAGCGTCCGCTATTGTATCACAGCAGTTTCTACAGAGTCGGTAATTCAGTCCCTGTCTGATTAATTATCAGACTGTGATAATACGATGTGCGTACTAGATACATACATCTAACAATGTGCGACTCACATTGTGCTGACGTGCAAAAATATCGGACTCAAAAGGAAGAACTGTGTGATCCAGGTGTGTATACATACATAGAAGAATTTACTAGTAGCGAAAGCTACTTTAATTTTATGTGAACCATAATCTCTCTCGGATTTTTTTTTTCAGGAAAGCAAAAACTTTACTATAACTTACTTTTATTTCACCAGTTCAAGCATATTCTTTAAAAATTGTACTTATCATTTTCAACTCTTGAATTATTTCAATTTTATGCAAATTTATAATATATATAGATGTATGTATATATAATATATGTATATATGTATATATAATATATAGATGTATGTGAATTTGTGTGAGGGGTAGAAGGATATTTATTAGAATAAATAGACGATAAAAGATATTTAAAAAATAAAATGGATACAAAGCAGATAGAATCAACAAAAGGCGGTGGGCCAAGTGATGTAGAAGAAGAAGAGAAAAGAACGGTGTTAGAGGAAACGGCATCGTTGTCAAGACTAGTTGAAAAATTGAACATTACAGGTACAGTAAACAATGTACAAGAGAAAAATGATACAGAATTAGAAGAAAAAATACAAGAAGAGGAAATAATACATAAGAAAATACTCTTTTGGAATGTGGCAGGATTAAACAAAAAAATGGAAGACAAAGAGAAGAAAAATGCATTTCTCAATTATATAAAAGAATTTGATATCGTAGGGTTGTCCGAGACATGGATACGTGAGTATAAATGGATTGAAATTGAAAAAAAATTGCTAGAAGGGTATCAATGGAAACATCAACATGCAATAAAGGAAGCCGCAAAAGGAAGAGCTAAAGGGGGCATTCTAATAGGTATTAAGAAAGAATGGGAATTGAAAAGGGGGAATTTAATACCTACAGTAAAATTCATAGGTAATGGAGTGATAGAGAGTAAATTACAAATTGGAAATGATAAATGGACGATATGGACAATATATCGAGACAAAAAAGAGAAAGATTCCATGACAAAAGTAATAGAATATTTGAGAGAAAGAATAAAACCGAAATATGAAGACTTTTTTATAATGGGGGGAGATATGAATGTTAGAATAGGAGAAGAAGGCTCCATGGGTATCAAGATGGCGGAAAGATATGAAATTGTGCAAGAAAAAAGAAAATCTAAAGATAAAACGAGGGATGCCGAAGGAAAAGCCCTACTGTCATTGTGTAAGGAAAGAGGTTGGTACATATTAAATGGCAATGTTGTAGGAGACGAAGAAGGCGAGTACACCTACAGTCAACATCGAAAAATACCCTCATCATCAGAAACTGGCTCATCAGTAAATGATTATGTTATTGTAAACATTAAAGTACTCGGGAGGATTAGAAGATTCCAGGTTGGTAATAGACCGGAATCGGACCACAGGCCACTCGAAGTCGAAGTGAACATAGAAGAGGAATATTCTGAGGATTCAGAGGAATAGGACAGGAGGGCAAAAGTGATAGAATAGAAATTATGATTTCTAACTTATGCGGACGATGGTTGTAGTAGGATGTGGTTATAGTAGTAAAGGAAATGGTGAGAATAAAAAAATGATAAATGCATACTAGTGGTATATCTTCACGTGAAACGATTGATGTTGAAAATGCAAAAATCAAAGATCATGAAATTTCAGAAGAAGATAGATGAAGGGGAGAGAGATGAAGGTGAAATGAAAAGGAGAGAATGTAATCTGTTAAAGAGTTCTCGTACTTGAGTGTGATTTTGCAAAGGTGTGGGAGTTTGTCAAGACACATAAGAAAGAGAACAAACCAGCTAAATATAGTGCGACCAAGTCTTCCTGACGCGGACATCGCGAACATTCGAGTTGTCGTCAGCAAAGGAAGAGAAGAGTTATCCTTGTTTTGCTAGTTACGCATTTAGAATTCTCAAGTTACGATGTATACTGAAAAGTCTGTTTCCGGGCTGGATCCACACCGACTGTGGACTGTTAATCAAGTATGGGGAATAGAGGAGAAAAATGTAGAAGTAGCTTTAAAATAAGCATGCTCCTGTTTGATGCATTAGTTTCGGCTGTGCTCATCTACGAAGCTAGACTGCGATGGTACAAAGAAAGGGTTGTGATGGAAAGAGTTCTAATAAGGTACTGAAAATAAACTTTAGGATTCCAAAAACCAAAAGATGGTAAAGTAGAAATGCAAAAGAAAGATAGAAATATTTTAACAGGAACGGGTGTACTGCAATAGAGGTGCAATTGAGAAGAGAAGGAGATTGGGGTGATGAAATTACAGAGAGTCTAAGAAGGAGAAATATGAAAGTACGACAAGTGCAATATAATAAGTACCTAAAAACAAAATATATAACCTAAGATATAGATATTTAAAGGCCGATTCAGTTACCAGAATATTTAAGAGTTCAATAGGTTTAATAGCAGTAGAGGGGTAAATAGAGGGTTTAATAGCATAAAGTAAGGTGTGGCTCAATAGAAAGATGGACTAAATCCTGGGGAAAAGATGAGAATAGGGAATACGTGAATACAGAAAAATTGAGAAGGAAGTGTAAGAAATATGAGTAGAAGGATGATTTTCTCCAATAAAATATGGGGAGAGACGAGTAATAGAATGAATCGAAATATTAAATGGAACATTAAAAGATAAAAAAAGAGTAATAAAGTAATACCTGCAAGGTTTTTTGCCTGTCTAAGCAAGCGCTTTTATCCTCATCCTCAATTGCTTACAATTAGCAAACTGCGGGCTAAACAAAGTGAAGAAGTTTAGTTATTACTATAATATTCTTCTATTCTTTTTAGTTAGCCATGTATAATTTATAGTTTACATCTGTGTTAACGGAAGTTAAAATATGTAGATAGATAGCGATATATCTATTATAATTTATAAGGCAAGAAAAATAAGTGATAGGAAGCTGTCAGTGTGGCTACATGAATGATTAAGTAATTATTGTAAACCAAAGAAAAATAAACTGTCTAATTGTTGCATCCATTATATAGCGGAAGATAGAAATTAATTCCAGCTAATCCTACTCTATAACGATACGTTTCATAATTCTAAAAAAAATCAGTGCATCAAATTTGGGCAATATAAAACCAATTTCGCAAACTGAAGTGAACATTCAATTCACAATTACTGTATTAACATACGTACCAACCACCAAAATAATTTCAAAGGAAGGATTTTAAAATCCATATGTAATTTTTTAAGATGTATGTATCCGGTTTAAAATTAATGGCACTCTGTTCTTCCCAGTTGAAACGATTAATGGGATACCTTAAGGATCTGTACTTAGCGTAACTCTATTCCTTATAGCAATCAATGTATAACGAAATTAATAGACAATCCGATTAAATGTGGTTTCTTCGCAGACGATTTTTCGTTAATACTGAGTGATAAAAACTTAGAGATTACTCAAAATATACTACAATTAACTCTTGATAAACTACACTTATGGTCATTAAAAACAGGATTTAAATTTTCTCCCGATAAATCAGAAACCATAGGTTTTAATAATAAATATAAGAATACTAATAAAATCCAGCAACAACAAAAATATTAATCAAGTAGATAAAATAAAAATACTAGGTTTAATCTTTGATAAAAAAATGACTTGGAAATTTGACACCATGAAACTTAGGGAAAACTGTACAAAAAGTTTAAATTTACTTAAATTTCTTGCGGCAAAAAACTGGAAATTAGATTACGGTATATTACTAAATACCTATAAATCAGTAATATGTACAACTTAAAATAGACTATGCCTCAATAATCTATGAAACAGGCGAAACAGCTCAATTTCTAGACACTATTCAAAATGCCGGGCTGAGGATAGCGTTGGGAGCATACCACATGTCCTCAATAACCAGTTTACAAGCAGAAGGAAATTTACTACCCTTAGAACACCGAAGGAAGAACCTGACATGTAACTATTATATATGTATATTTAAATTAGCAACTAGCCCTGATAATCCAACTCACAAAATTATTTTTAATAAATACGTCAAATACGATCTCTACGTAGAGATCGAACCACAAACAGCTCCAACAAGGTGGTTAGCCATACATTTATTAAAGTAAATGACGACAAAACTGTAACTGTTATTAATGACAGAAAAATCAAGTATAAATTCCTCATTACACTTTAAATGAAATCCTGTAGTATCTACATTGTTCTTTTCGCAATAAAAAACTCAAAAATTGAAAAAGAAAACTTCTATATAATTTCTGTTGACGATTCCAACATAATCAAGAAAATAAAAAATCTCTTCAACTCTAACAATCTAATCAGTGATTTTCAAAATGAGTTATACAGATGTTGGATTCCGGGTCGGTGGAATGAGTTCGAGATCTATTTAACTATCGACGGTACAAATGCGTCTCGTACTCGCGATCGTCTAGTGTTGGAGTAAAAAAAAGGTCTGTGGATTCTTAGAATGTGGGTGTATATACATATAGTGGGAATATTGGCTGCGACATGGAGGGGAGGATGGATGACGTAGAGGCAAATGCGAAATGCCGACGTCCGGAAAAGTGACGCGACAAGGGCTGGGATGTTTAAGGGTCAGTTTGGTTTGATGAGTAATTTGTTGTAATGTTCTTACTGACTAATCGGGATGAGTGTTGGAGGTAGAGATAGACGGGTTGGTATCTAACACAGACACCAAAACTCTCCGCGAAAGTAAACACGACAGTATTGAAATTTCAGGAAATAATAACGAAATAAATGTAGACCTGAAGCACATTGAAATCTCATTTGAGGATGCTCAGAAATTTTTAACAAAAAATATTTGACATAAGTGGAACCAAGAATGGATACATTCAAACCGCTCTCTCCTACATAAACGCAGAGAAAGTATATTCTCTATAACAACCCCGCAGTATATTTAACAAGAAGGAAGTAAATTGTATTATCTCAACTAAGAATTGGGCATACTAAAGTAACACACCAGTACATACTCTCTAAAACAGACAAAACAATTTGTAACAACTGTAACACTGAGCTTACAGTTAAGCACATCCTAATTGAATGTCCAGTGCACAACAATATCAGAAAAAAAGTAAAAATGCCCAATACCATCAAAGAATGTTTGGACAACTACAAACAAACAGCAAAAGTTATGTCATACTTAGAAGAAACCAAATTGTTTAGCAAAATTATACAGTAACATATTAGAATTATGGCTTGGATTATTTCTTAAACGAATATGGTATTAATTATTTTCCTTAAAACTTTTATTTTTACTTTTGTCTGAGAGGAGGTATATGTACGAAATGACTGAGCGACCAAATTCAACTAAGAGATCGGCGACTGAAAATCGCCTGCTTATACATATACCCTTTTTGGTGTGGTCTTCTCCACCAATCAAAGACAGTCATTCATCGCGTTTTACATTGTACTGTGTACATTGTTTTGTATTGTGAGCACGATGTGCTCTAACGACACCGGCGATGATATATCGCGGTATCTATAATATACAGTTTACATCACTATCAGTGCGTGCTGACGGAACCGGCGGAAATGTAAACTGATATTTTCGAATCTCAGTCCTAAGTAAACTATACATAGATTAATTTTTGTCCGAGGCTAAAGTTTCTTTTTCAACATAACATAAGAAGCCTAAATTAAGAAAATAATGTAACATGTAATGCAAAACTATTGTATATTATATTACATGTAATCTACAAATGTTATTCTACAAGTGGTTGCTAATTGCTATTAAGCAGATACGGCATTAAATAAATAAATTAAAAGAAAGAGTACCAACACTATCTTTTTTCACGGCAATAAAGTGCTAGTACCCTATCATTAACAAAGTCAACTACCGCGCATTTCGAAAAATCTGACAAAATTATATGTTACTAACTATAACAAAAGGCAAAAACTGTGCAAATAAAAAATGCTTTATAATCTCAATATAAAATCGGTAATTTAAATATTTTTAATTTTTTAAAAATCGTGTAGCAGACCCACAAAGTGGAGGGAAGGAATTTTCGGACGCGGAAATTCTGATCTTCCCATGTGTGTGCCATACGCGGCCAAGTCTCAAATGCTGGTCGTAAAAGTTAAAGTCCAGATGCTGGGCCTTGTTGGTTGAAAGTCCTCATAGGCGACAACTTTTTCCGAAATTGTTTTATGACAGGCAATTTTCCCTCCATTTTCAAGGATAAGAATTTTCCCTCTCTTCCTTTTTAGCAATTTAGAAACTCGTCGACTAGGGTGACCGTACATCCTTGGACAATCTAGTCGAGTTCTTCAGAAAGCGTTGAACGGTCAAACGGTCATACCGAACAGAGTCTCCATTAAGCAGAGTCTTGACACCAACTTCATATAAATTTCCTCGCAAAATGCACTACTAAGCGTTTTACATATATTTGATCGAAGAAGTCTTGGCTGAGTGGGTACATACTAGACCTGTTCGAGTACTCGCAAAACATGAGTCGGGTATATCTCGGCTCGAATAATCGATCCGAGCCAAGACTCGAAAGATCGAGTGGCTCAAAAGAATCGAGTAGCTCAAAAGAATCGAGTAGTTAAAAAAAAATCGAGCGGCTCGAATGTAAGCGAGCAATTTGGACGCATTTCAAACGGCTCGCTATGATGGAGCGTCCTGAATGATCCGAATAAACTGTTTTTCGTATACAATAAACATACTATACATATTATTGCTTTATTTTAGATATTTTTCTTTCGAGTTGCTCGATTCTTTTCAGCCGCTCGGTTTTATCAACTCTTACTGACGCTCAGATTGTCCACTAAAATGGATAATTTGTGAAGAGGAGATACGATTATTAGAGCCTTGCGGTTCGTTTTTATAATTGTGGACAATTTATAACTACAAAAATAAACCGCAAGGCTCGAATAATCGTATCTTCTCTTCCCAAATTGTCCACTTTTGTGGTCAATGTGGGCGTCAATTAGAGAGACATTACTGTAATCTGCTCGGCTCGAAAATCGAGTTCCGGCTCGGTGCGGATTTTAAGCCGCTCAAATAATCGAGTAATGTCGAGATATTGCTACGGCCCTTTATTTATTGATTTTCTTGTGGCCCTTTAATTTATCGATTTTCTCGCTATGCTAAAGTTCGATGGTGTTGGTGAACACGTATGCTGCGGCACGCGCCGCGGCTTCTTTGATTTGAATTCCCGGAAGACTACTCATAATGTAATGACATAACTTTTTTTAATTTTAACGTTTTAACACTGATTTTTTTAAACATATTGCTGATAGTTTTCTGATTAAAATGAACCAAACACGATATAGTTTGGGCAGATATTTCTGCTGACAAAATCAAAGACGATAGACGTTGCACGTAATTTACTGCCAAGATGCACGTGGTGTACGGTGGAAAAGGGTATAGGCAAAGTTGTTAACTTTACTGATGCTGTAACAAATAATGTAAAAAAAATTAATTTGCAAATAATTCATATTCAAATTGGCTAAAAGTCGTGTTCCTTCTCGATGTTCGACATCTTAAAAAATGCACAGAAAACAGTTTCTTTACACCTTCCACGCGTAGCAAATTGTCCCAGCAAATTTTAATCATGGAACTCGGCCGTCTTCGTTCTCTTCTGTCTCCCATCTTTGTAAAGCCTTTCTATCACCGGTGTTTAACGTAGGCTCGAATAGCTTTAGTAACTTTGGTGATATTTTCTTTCGAAAATCATATGTACATACCTTTTTTAACCTTGCCTTTAATATCGGTTTTTGTAATGCTCTTTTCGCAAATAAAGTAAGTTACTTATTACGTATGTAGCAGCCATTGTGCTGCAACTACGCGCCCGCCTAGAGAAACTCTCAATTTCATAGCGGTACACGGCCGGCGACGGTAATAACAGTTAGAGGATTCGCTTGCAGAGGCCAAGGACGAAGTAATAAACTTCCCCTGGCCGTTGCAAGTCGAAAATGATTTTAGTGACTTTTTTAACAACCCCACGTGTACAGCAAATGTTGCTGAAAAATAATTACCGGCCACCTACCGCTACAGGGATACCTGGCCGCGCGTTTAGCGCGGCCCGGGAAAACCCTCAGGAATAACCGTCACCTTGGACAAAGGAAGACGATGTTCCGCCGGACGAATATAAGCGGCAAAAGTCGGCTGCCGCGGGTCAGTTCGAGCAGTTCGGTTAGGACAGTTCGTTCAGGACAGTTCGATCAAGACAGCACGATTACGACGAGTATCGGTTAAAGTATAAGTTCGTATATAAGTCCATATTGTTATAATTGAGGGTACGGAACATTTAGAATACACAACCCCTCACGTATAATTAATAAGAATGGTCTAAAGCATGTCGAGTTTGGTATCATTTTTATTGGAAAAATGTNCAAACATGGAACTCTTCATTCTCGGCCGTCTTCGTCGTCATCTGTCTCCCATCCTTGTAAAGCTTCCTATTCCCGGTGTCTAACGTAGGCTCGAATAGCGTAACTTTGGTGATATTTTCTTTCGAAAAACATATGTACATACCTTCTTTGACCTTGCCTTTAATATTTCATATGTTAAAAATCGGTTTTTGTAATGCTTTTTTCACAAATAATATAAGTTACTTATTACGTATAATGAATAAGAATGGTCTAAAGCATACTGTGTTTGGTATCATTTTAATTGGAAAAATGTGACTAATATATTAAAAACATTTTCATGTATAAAAAATTAGAAATAAAAAAGTTAAATCATCGTTTTTATTTTATTATTACAATGTTGTATACCGGCTGCCACCGATGCTGACCGCTGCCTTACATACATAGTATGTATACAACATAGTTTCGCTCGACTTGAGTTTCGTTCTATCTCTCTCCCTCTCACGAGGTGTCGGCAACAATAAAGGCGAGCCGCGAGGCTCGAAGAAATCGATTCCTACGTACTATTCTCGACACTTTAGAATTCGGTCCCGGCGACAGATAGGGAGATTTTACTGTATTCCGACAGCCTTAGTACATACGGATTATACATATGTATAATTATTATCCATGTTCATGTTGAATTAATTTTTTTAACTGTTTTCCACATGTATTACTATTATCAATTGCTTTGGAATAGGTAAATAGGGTTCATTTGTAAAATGAACGAAGACAGAGTTGTGAACGTGATATGGTGGACATCGATCCCCGCATATTTACTTGAGCATATTTACCCCGCATACTTACTTCTCATCTAAATGAGAATTTTATGCTTCACACTCGTAGTGGAAATGAACAATATAAGATATTCGCTTCTTGCTATTGTGCCTAAATTCGTGAACTATCGGTAACGCTCGACGTGACATCGGGTCCAGCTCTCAATTTGACCTAGCCAGAGTTGATCGTCGCGCTGTAGTCGTACGAACGGTCACTAGACGAAGCTAATTAGTAATATTTTCGATCGCTAGGTGGCACGAGTATATTTTTCTGTGGCTATAGGTAGATATTTTTTTTATTCGACGAAAATTCATCCGCCGAATAAAATACTTTTTTTATTTGAACGTTCGAATAACGAATAAAATTTTTTTTATCTTTTATTCGTTATTCGAAATTTTTATTTAGATAAAGATTGTACCCAACTCTGCCCTCAGCTTGTTGAGAGCGATTATTTGAACCTTTTTATAGTTGCCGATTATCGATAACTATAAAAACGAGCCGCAAGGCTCAAATAATCGTTTCTCCTCTTCATAAATTGTCCATTTGTGTTTACGAGTTATTAACGAAAAACACTGACCAATGAGAACCGAGATCAGTTAACGCGAGGCGATCGAGCCAACGAGTGGAACTGGGCTTCGTTCGCTCGTTGGCTCGGCCGCCTTGCGCCAGTCGAGCTTGCCTCTTATTAGTCAGTGTTTTTCGTTAATAAGTTGTAAATAAAGCCGCGGATTGCATTTTCGCTAAGAAAAAAGTTATTTCAAGTGATATAAAACGAGATCGATCAAAAATAAAAAATAATTTCAAAATGTCGAACTTCTTGAAACATATTGTTAAACAATAGAGGTATAAAACTGGTAACAAAAATTTAAACAAAATATTTTTTACAACTTTTTTATCTAAGTTTATAAGACGTTCAAATACTTATGTGGCGTGCAAATTCGATGTTTTTTATATCTTTTTAATTATATAAGTAACGATAAATCGAAAGTTTTTTATATTTTGACATTCATATACTCTACTTTAATATACCGTAAAGGATCTTTTTTCTTCAATGTATATTTATTTAAATATATGACGTAGAAGTCAAAGTTATACTAGCGTTCGAATACTTTCGTGACTCACTGTACACGTATGTATAATGAATCGAATGACAGACGACGATCTACCTAGAGATCGAGACGCCATGGCGCATGAATTTGTTCACTTACTCACTCGCTCACTGTCTCTATCTCTAGGTGCCGTTTCTAGGATTCTAACAAATAATACCAGTTATACTCATCTCATTCAGTTTTATTATTTCGTGATAAAAAGTCACGCCAGAATACTTATTTACATTGTTTGTTCGTTATTTATACTTACAATCTTTTTCCGAACGAATTCACAATAAAATGAATATTTTTCGTTAAGTATTTTTCTTTTATTATTTATGCATTTAAAAATTAATAATCTCACTTCTATATTCCTAAAACCACGTTTTTCGTACCTTTTAATTTGTGATTCATTTTTACATTCTAATATGCTGATATTATACCGGAATTATACTGATATTATACCGAAATACGTCTATACTAATACATATAACGTCAATGTGGTGACTTCATAACGGTATCCGCAGCATTCGATTTCTTTAAAAGTAGTAGAATAACTACTGAAAAATACCAGTATTTTACTGGTATTTGTAATACCGTTTTAGTCTTTGGTATTGAGAATCCCATCCTTAAAACACATGAACTGCACTAAACCCTAGACAGAAAGATGCTGTGGCAGAAAAGCCCATAAGATGCAGATTCAATGTATGTACAGATTCTAAGTCTGTGGTCGATGTAGGTTTTAATCTATGTTAAAATTGATATTGGGCCTGACAAAGGCAGCACTATACTGGAGGCACTGAAATCCCGGGCGTGACATTCTCAGTTTCTCTGATTTGAATATGCAGTTGTATACGATGAACTGTATAAGTTAAAAAACAGTTTATCATCTAGAAATACTACATTTTTGCATAATATGAAAAAATTGGTTCATTAATTTGTTCTTAAATCTATTGTTACATATTATTTTCTTAATGGAAAATCTAAGCGCATATATTTAAATACCCGGCTTTACAGTTATTGGCATGTTACGCAGAAGCACATGCTACGTTTGTTGCTTCTGCTAATGAGTACAGATTAAGTTAAATGCGCAAGCGCAGAAAGAAATTTACAACATGGCGGAACGCAGGAAAAGCAGAAAGCGCAAAGATGTAAGCATCACATACGGCAGTAATTATCGTAATACTATTTAACTGTATAAGTGTGTTATTTTATTCACTTAGCATATAAATATAGTTGTCGTTTTTATGTTAGACTAATTTTACTTTATTTAGCGAAAATGTGTGTCATGATTAAGAACTGTTTCAATGGAGTCCGATGACGTAGCAAACCCATCAGTCATTCTTTCTATTCAAAGTTTTGAAATTGGTTTTAATTATACTCATAATTTCATGTTTTATAAATTACTTTACACTCGTACTTACGAAAGATTAATCGTTATATAAATTGTATTCCTTATAAGGAAGATATAGAGTAGTTTCACTAATGTTTTGGGTCACCATCTGTATCACCTGAATTCTTAGTATGCCGTTTTTTTTTTAACAATACGCGTCAAATCACGTGTTTTACTTAATACATGTTTATTACAATGTAAAATCATATTTCATTAGCAATTTATGTTCACTTCTTAGAATTAATAAGTTAAATATTTGAATTTGTTGAAGTTTCATATGAAATGTTTTTCTTGTTTATTATAGGAAGTGGCACACATAGACCATGAAGTTGTTGAAGATAAACCATCTAAGGACGAGTATCTTGTAGCTAAATGGATCCGTAACAATGTACCGTCAAAAAAAACAAAATTTGATAGAATTCACAATGTTGAATATTTTACTGGCAGTCGTGCAGTGGATGCACTGTTGAAGAATTCACCATGGAGCAAATTCAAATTTGAAACACGTGAACAGGTTACAAAATTTCTTGATTTGATGCTAAGACATAAATTTTTTCATAGAGCAAAGAAGGTAGTAATCACCGAAGAAGAATTATGTAAAATACGTGGAATAAAGAAAAAAGTTAAAGATATTAAAAAGGAGAAGAAACCTAATGAAAAGGAAAAGGAATATTCTAAAGACGCCAAAGATGCAACAGATGGAAAAGATGGTGAAGATAAAGTTGAGGAGAAAAAGAAAAAACCAAAAGTGAGTTAGGATAAGCAAGATGAATGTTTTCATTATTTGCAAAAGAAATTAAACATTATTCCATATGGAACATGATAGAGTAGAAAATAATTGACAACATTATTGGTTAATTTAGGTACGACTGGAAATGCATATGGAACAATATTTTGTTGACTGTAATGATGCTTATGTTTGGATATATGAACCAATACCAGTGTATTACTGGTTTTTTGGAACTCTCGTAGTGTTAGGTGCAATTGGTCTGTGTCTATTCCCATTGTGGCCATCAACAATTCGCCTTGGTGTATATTACATGAGCGTTGCAGGAGCAGCATTCCTTTTATTTCTTATGACACTAGCAACCATTAGATTGATTGTGTTTTGTCTTCTGTGGGTTCCAACACTTGGCAGATGTCATCTTTGGCTTGTACCAAATTTGACAGCAGATGTTGGATTCTTTGCCTCATTCTGGCCACTTTACCAAGTTTGTATTATTTTTAATTTCATCCTGCTTGTATGGAAACAAGTATACATAAGATTATTTTCAGTATGACTACTATGGCTCGACATCAAAAACGGATAAAAAGCTTAATAAAAAGAAAAAGAAAAAAGAGAAAGATGCTGATTCTGATGATGGAGCATTACTGCAATCGTGTGTAGAAATTTTTCACCAAACCTAGTCATTCTATGAAAGTACCATGATAACAGTTTAATAACATTTTTGTTTTTTCACAGAGATGAACAATCTAGTACACAAGAATTACACACAGAATATACTCAAATTGAAGAAACGTCACCTAGTGAAGAGACATCATCTAGTGAAGAGAAGAAGTTGCCTTCATCTGAGCTGGCAGAAGGTGAAGAAGGTAGTGAAAGCTCAGGAAGTGAAAAATCTAATACAGGCCAGGATTTTGTGATGGTTTAAAACAGAAACTTTTGGTAATAAATAGTTATCCTTTATTTAATACAAATGCTGTGTCAATTAATGGTTAATTTTTGCTATTTTTATTAAATAATTCAGGGATTGTAACATACAAGTTAACATTTGTGTTAACTTCTGAAGATATGAATCGTTTATTACATTTAATATTAAGTATAGCAAGGAACAAAAATGTGGTTCACCAATTTAGCAAATTCAATCTGCTTCTTGCTTAGATGAATATATTTACATTTTTTGTATCTAGAAAGTGAACCAGAAGATCTAGATATATTTTACAGAAGGAAAATTTTTGTAACTATGCTATAAGAATCCATCTTCGAGATTCCAATATAAATATGTATGCTTATTTAAATCATGATTAATCAATATTCATTTAGGTACATATTTACATGTTATTCATAAGGATTATTGTGTCAAAACGTATACTTACGTTAATATAGGTGCCTGAAACCTTCCTGCATCAATTGCGAGCTGTTTTTAACAATTGATATTGTATGATACAGTATTTTACTATAACAAAATATTAAATTTCAGTGACATGATTTCCTCAGGTGTCGTAAGTGTACAGAAATCTGGTGAATAGAATACAAACTTTACGAACAAGACT